TCCTATAAATTGGTAGCTGGTTCTAAAAGCTTAATCACATTCAGTACTTTAGGAGGGTAGGGAGAAAAACTACTTCACAGTGGTATTATGATCTGCCAGGAGTTACATGTCATTGTCATCTGGTTGTCTTTCCTTTTGAGATATTAGCAATTGTTGATGAGTAATGCCTGGCTCCATTAATTTATGAGAGGTTACCAAAAGGTAATATTTTCATTTTATTATGGTTCCTTCATTTGTTAGCTGGATTACCTCTATATAGAGACATTTCCTTTAATCTACTATTTGGTTACCAAGTGGTTCAGTTAAAAACAAGAAAAATACTTAGTTCTTTCCCTTTACTGACCAGTTGTCAGAATAATTGGTTCACTAAATACTTCAATGGTAACCAATTAGTTGTGGGCTTTTTGTGTGTGTGTGTGTGTGTGTGTGTGTGTGTGTGTGTGTGTGTGAGACCAGGGTATCACTCTGTTGCCCAGGCTGGAAGAGAGCAGTGGCACCATCACAACTTAATGTAGCCTCCAGAGTAGCTAGGACTACAGGTGTGTGCCAACATGCCCAGCCAATTATTTTTTTGCTTTTTTGTAGAGATGGGTTCTTGCAATGTTGCCCAGTCTGATCTTGAATCCCTGGCCTCAAGCAATCCTCCTACCTCCCTCCTCAGCCTCCTAAAGTGTGGGAACTATAGGTGTGAGCCATTGTGCCTGGCTAGTTTTTTAATTATCATCATGAAATCGTGAACTTAAACAGTGGGTTTTTCGTATATTAGTCCTTTCTCATGCTGTTATGAAGAAATACCTGAGACTGGGTAATTTATAAAGAAAAGAGGTGTGGCTGAGTACAGTGGCTCACACCTCTAATCCGAGCACTATTTTTTTTAATCTCATATTGCCGTTCTTAAGTTTTAGTATTAAGGTTGCAAAAGTCTCGAAACTGAGGTAGTGGTTATTTGGTTTTCTATTCCACGAGAGATTGACTGCAGAAGACTAGAATTATTTTTTCCTATGTTGTCTGATAAAACTTATAAAAATGCCTGGACCCAAGGCTTGTTTGCTTGCTAACCTTCTAAAAATTGTCAAGTAGAAAGCTACACACACACACACACACACACACACACACAAAGTTCATAAATCACAGGTGTACAGCTTGATTCATTATTACAATAGCAGTTCTATTCTCCTATATAGCTCCTCAACCTGACCCTAAGTTTTGCAAGAGACCTGATGAGTCAGTGGAAACATTAAAATAACAGTGCCCTGTTGACAGTAAAAACATTTTGAAGGCCTGGAAAGTGCTATTATATATCCAATTCAACAGGAAAGATCTGAAAGATGTTACCACAAATTCAATCAAGCAGTCAAAGCAACTGAACCAGTTTTTCACCTACCAGTCCAAATTACTCTAAATAAGGTTTTTAGGGAAAGCTGGATGTTATTTTCTTTTTCTTTTTTTTTGCCAATCAGTTTGAGCTTATAAGGTTGCTCAGGTTAGCCCTGAACTCATAACCTCGCCTTCGCAAGCGCCACGACCTCCAGTGGGAGCCACTTTGGACCCCTAGCTGGATGTTATTTTCTAACCATCTGGTAAGTCACTCAGAAAAGGAATTATAAGCTTGAATGTTCAAGCTTATAACTGTTCAAATTACTCAGAAAAGGCATTATAAGCTTGAACATTCAAGCATTATATAAGGAATTCCACTATTAGGAATTTGAACATTCAAGCTTATAATGCCTTTTCTGAGTAACTTATCAGATGGTTAGAAAATACAACAAAAAAACATCTTTCACTCTTTTGTAACTCATAAATTTCTTTTAATAAGCCAGCCTTTTAAAGATTTTGAGGCTATAGCTAAGACAAAGACATTTAAGACAGAAAACAGAAGATGATAGTTCTTCAGAGCATGAAAAAAAGGAAAATATGATCTGACTCCATGAACCCAGGAGAGAGAACTCAGGGTGGCAGGATGGACTAACCTGAGAATCTGGCCAAAAGACTGGATAAATCCTCAAGTTGGCTAAAAATGGAATGCAACACTAGGCTGCCAAATAAGATTAATGTTTAAAGTAGTCTCTTTGCAAATATTATTAGAATTTTTTTGGCTAAAAATGACTAAGATAACTCTTCATTCACAATCAAAGCTATTTCTTTTTGCCTACAATTCCCCATGTATTCTTTATTGCAGGTGGTTAGTTGGGATCAAAATCCAGCTTGGTAATACTGGCACTGTATCAACTTTTGACTGTCCATTTCATCAGCTAAGCTGCCTCCATTGTACATGTGTTCTTGATGATAATGAACTATTCTCAAGCATCTCGGCTGTCATGTATGTATCAGGGATAGAAGCACTCTCATAGTTTAGAGGAAGGATGTTCTTTCCATGGTCTGGCAAAATTTTACAATAAATGCTTAATCATCTCTGATCCAAATATAAAATTTTTATATACAGAAGACTATTTTTGAACAATGTAAAGAAACTATACTATATAAAAGTATAAAAAAGTGGCCGGGCATGGTGGCTCACACTTGTAATCCCAGCACTTTGGGAGGCTGAGGTGGGTGGAGGGAGTTTGAGACCAGACTGACCAAGGTCTCTACTAAAAATACAAAAATTAGCTGGGCATGGCAGCAGGTGCCTGTAGTCCCAGCTACTTGGAAGGCTGAGACAGGAAAATTGCTTGTACCTGAGAGGCAGTGGTTGCAGTGAGCTGAGATTGTGCCACTGCACTCCAACCTGGGTGACAGAGCGAGAATCTGCCTCAAAAAAAAAAAAACTCTAACATCACATGGTCAGGACCTTAGTGATTAAATTTCTACATTTTTGTCAAGCCATTTACTTAACAAATATTTATTGAGTGCCTAGGATGTCAGGTACTGTTCTGCACATAAATTCACTAAAGGAATGAGGGCTATGGTCTCATTAACTCAAGAACTATTCTAAGTCTTTAACATAGAAAGAACAAAAAACAAGTATCCCAGCTTATTCAACAAATCCTCTACTTTCCCTACTTTGGACTTTTTGATAGCTTATTTTTCCATAGCTGCTTTACATATATTTAAATAGCTAAGAGCTCAGCAGTGATCAAAATAAGCCTCAAATCAAAGCATACACATACACACACGTGTTAATATACTAAATAATATACTAAAAATTAAGTAACCTCACATATACTGAAGGAAGTATAAATAAAAAACTAGAGATGCCATTTTTACCTTTTAGGTAAATAAACTATGTTAGATTAATAATACCTATTTTTTTTTAATTATAGGGAGTCAAGTATACATTGGTGAGAGTTTAAGCTGATATATCTTTTAAAAAAATGTATGTATCTTTTGAGTAAGGAATTTCACTATTAGGAATTTACCCTACATATATACTGGCATTAAGATTGCAGGAATATAAGTACAAGACATTGATTGCAACATAACTTATAACAGTAACACACTTAGAAATCAATGCTCATGAGAACTGGCTGAATAAAATTATAGTGTAGGAGCACAATAAAATACTCTTCCACCAAAGGAATGAAGCAGATCTTTTTTTTTTTTGAGATGGGAGTTTTGCTCTTATTGTCCGGCTGGAGTGAAATGGCACGATCTTGGCTCACCAAAACCTCTGCCTCCTGGGTTCAAGTGATTCTCCTGTCTCAGCCTCCTAATTAGCTGAGATCACAGGCATGTGCTACTATGCTCGGCAAATTTTTGTATTTTTAGTAGAGACGGGTTTTCCTCCATGTTGGTCAGGCTGGTCTCGAACTCCCAACCTCAGGTGATCTGCCTGCCTTGGCCTCCCAAAGTGCTGGGTTACAGGCGTAAGCCATTGTGCCTGGCCCTTGAAGCAGATCTTTACATACTGATATAAGATGTCCAAGGTAAAATGTTAAGTAAAAAGAAGCAGTCTGTGTAACAGAACAGTCTATTTACTATAACACCATTGATATATAAAGGAAAAAAGATAATGATATATAACAAAAAAATTTGTAATTAAAAACTTGAAGAATTCCCAAGAAACTGTCAAGAGCAACTACTTATAAGAGGTGGAAGTGAGGTAGTAAGAAGAGATACTTCAAAGGACTTTTACTTTGTTTATATATACCTTTTATATGGGATGAGTGCCTCATCAGAGTATGTTTCTTTTTATATTCTGAGAATTTATCAATCCTGAGGTCTTGTGAAATTCTTGTCAAGGCTGGGCGCAGTGGCTCACGCCTGTAATCCCAGCACTTTGGGAGGCCAAGGTGGGCGGATTATGAGGTCAGGAGATCGAGACCATCCTGGCCCACATGGTGAAACCCCGTCTCTACTAAAAATACAAAAATTAGCTGGGCATGGTGGCCCACGCTTGTAATCCCAGCTACTTGGGAGGCTGAGGCAGGAGAATCATTTGGACCCAGGAGGTAGAGGTTGCAGTGAGCCAAGATCATGTCACTGCACTCCAGCCTGGTAACAGAGCGAGATGCTATCTTAAAGAAAAAAAAAATTCTTGTCAAATTATACACTTACTGAAGGTTAAAAAAGTGATAACCAGAGGAAGTAAATTCATTTCCATAACTTGTTTCATAGCTAAGGAACTGGGACACCAAATTCTAAGGACTGTTTAAGGCCATGCTGTTTAAAAAGTACTTTTTAATAATCAAAATGGTGATAAAAAGGCCAAGAAAAGTAACAAAAAGGGAAAATTAGCTGCAAAGTCAGAGATATTATAAGGTATTATAATATTTTCTTTGCTAAATTATCTTGAAAAAAAAGTTCTGGTTCTTAGATTTTTTTTTAACCACAGACTATGCAAAATTACTTTTAATTTAACTGAGTCTTAGTAATCAGTTATAGGAGTAGTTTCCTAAAACTTAGCAAGGTGGGAGTAGAAGAAGCAGGAAAAAAGTTGTGGAGTGAAAAGTAGGAAAGAAGGGAACAGAAAACAGAATCAGAGAAGGGAATAATGTCTGTTAGAATAAATGAGTTAAGAGTGACTTGGGAGAGAGTCAATCCCCACAGTAATACTATACCTAACAGCTGGCTGTGTTCCCCTGTGATGGAGTTCTGACTCAGGTCTGAAAAACAAACAATTGAAAAGAAAAGAAAAAAATGAATGATCAAAACAAATAATTTCTTTAAAATCAGCAACAAAAGTCAACCAAGGAAATAAGCAAAAAATTTAAAAAACATGAAATATTGATGTGAAGATAATAAAAAACAGAATGAACTAGTGTAAAGAATGATCACATTCCTCAAAAAGTTAAACGTAATCACCATCAGCAACTGCACTCCTAATTATACTTCCAAAATAATTGAAAACAGGGACTCAAACAGATACTTTACCACAAAGTTTATGGTGAAATTATTCACAATAGCCAAAAGGTTACCAAGTATACTCCCACAGATGAATGAATCAACAAAATGTAATATATACCTACAATGGAAAATTATTCCGCTATAAAAAGTAATGAAATTTTGATAAATTTGATGACATAGATAAACCTTGAAAACATTATGCTAAGGAAAACAAATCAGACATAAAAAAGATAAATATATGGCCGGGTGCGGTGGCTCATGCCTGTAATCCCAGCACTCTGGGAGGCCGAGGCGGGTGGATCACGAGGTCAACAAATCGAGACCATCCTGGTCAACAAGGTGAAACCCCGTCTCTACTAAAAATACAATAAATTGGCTGGGCATGGTGGCGCGTGCCTGGAATCCCAGCTACAAAGGAGGCTGAGGCAGGAGAATTGCCTGAACCCAGGAGGCGGAGGTTGCGGTGAGCCAAGATTGCGCCATTGCACTCCAGCCTGGGTAACAAGAGCAAAACTCCGTCTCAAAAAAAAAAAAAGATAAATGTATGATTCAATTTATATAAAATGTTGAGAAAGGGCAAATTTATGAAGATGGAAAGTAGATTAGAGGTTACCAGGGGCTAAGTGGAAGAGGGTATGGAATGTTACTGCTTAAAGAGTACAGTTTCTGTTTGAGGTGATGAGAAATTTTGGAAATAGATAGTGGTAATGGGTGTACAACACTGTGAATGTAATTAATGCCACTGAATTGTACACTTAAACATGGTTAAAATGGTAACTTCTGTATTGTACATATTTTGCCACAATAAAAAGTAAATTAAAAAAATAATAATCACACAAATTTGACCAAGCAACAGTTTCATAAAGTAGAAGAATGATTTAGGGCTGTGACATGAGTTACATTTTTAATGACAAATGAACGTTTTAATGACACAAAAAAACTTATGGCTACAGCAGCTTAAAGTCACTTATTGTTATTAGCAGATATGTTCTAGTTTGACTTTAAGATACACCGACTAAATTGGCTTTCATAAATATCAATTTCCTTAGTAATCCGAAATAAAATTAGTGGCAATAAGCCAACTTCCTATCGCAAGAGACACGGACAATCACCATTTAACAGTCAACCACTCACTTATTTTAAAGGTTTGAAAAGCACTAAGAGCTAAAAAAAGAGTAAGCTCCGCTTTCCTCAAAGACTAAATCTCTTGAGATGCTGAGGAGTCTGGCTTCCTTGAATGTGCCTGGGGTAACAGAAATAATTTTAGACCAATGGTATGTGAACAATGGGAAAAAAGTTAACCTTTTATTTTCACTAACCTCTAACAGAACTTTAGTATTTTCTACGGTTATGATGTATGCAACAGATTACGTAAAAGTACCTGTGATTTTTTCTAACAATAAATCTCAGATATTTTTATATCAAATTATTGCTGTTTTACACAAAATTCAAGTATCTTCCATAGTCCACATATGTTTTCTGCATCACTTAATTAAATCTAACACTTCAAGCATTCCAGACAGAAAGAATCAATCAGAATACTTAACAAATTTCAGCTTCTGATGTATACTGGAGTATATGCTACATACTTTAATTAAGGAAGTAAGGTAGAAACCTGATTTCTGCCACAAAGGTTTTAAATGCTATTTGAACATTTAAAATTTTATTTTCAGGGGATTTTTTTCCTTAATTTTGCTTGAAAAATAAAAATTTGAAATGCTCCTAGAGTATTTTCCCCAAACATACCAGCAAGTGAATTCCCAGTTTTTACTTTAAACTTATCTTACTTCCCATCTAAATAACGGATACTGGGGTTGGGTGCAGTGGCTCCTGCCTGTAATCCCAGTCTTTTGGGGGGGTGAGGTGGGAGGATCACGAGGCCAGAGTTTGAGACCAGCCTGAGCAACATAGTGAGACTGCATCTCTATGAAACATTTTGAAAATTAGGTAGGCATAGCGGTGCATGCACCTGTAGTCCCAGCTACTCAGGAGGCTAAGGCAAGAGGTTCCCTTGAGCCCAAGAGTTAGAAGCTGCAGTAAGCTATGATGATGCCACTGCACTCCAGCCGGGGTGACAGGGTGAGACCTTATCTTTCCCCCCCACCCCCTGCCACATGTATATATGTTGTTCTTGCACATAAGACAAAGTAGGAATAACAGTTGGTTTATTAGATTGCTGTCACACTCTCTCTTAGGAAAAATTGGGCCCTATAGTTATGGAGAAGCAAGCATATAGGTGGCATGTAAAGAAGAGCAGAGAAAGAATAGAATTTTAGAACTAGGAGAACCTTGGTCATCATCTAAATCTACTCCAGTAACTCTAGAGGAAAAGATGGGTAAAGGTTAATCACATCATCTATTTTTCTCTTAAATCATACCAACACCCCTCCTTCAAGATTCTGATTCCCAGCTATAGTCACTAATATTACCTTGTATCTCTCAGGTGTGCAGGAACAGAAAAAGTTAAGAACCTCATATTTTAATGTTTATAGTTCTAAAAAACTAAGCCAGGTACAGTGGTTCATGCCTGTAATCCCAGCACTTTGGGAGGCCGAGGGAGGTGGATTATCTGAAGTCAGAAGTTCAAGACCAGACTGGCCAACATGGTGAAACCCTGTCTCTACTAAAAATACAAAAAATAGCCGGGCATGGTGGCGCATGCCTGTAATCCCAGCTACTAGGGGGTGCTGAGGCAGGAGGACTGCTTGAACCCAGGAGGCGGAGGTTGCAGTGAACCAAGATTGTGCCACTGCACTCCAGCCTGGGGGATAGAGCAAGACTCTGTCTCAAAAAAATAAAAAATAAATAAATAATGAATGCCTGGGTTTATCAGTGGCTAAAGACACAACACAACTACTCCCCCAAGAAAAAGGTTATAGTCTTGATGCTTTGAGAACTTATGTTCTTGCTTCTCAATATTCTGTAATTCTAACTTTCTTGTTCTAAAACAAGGTATGATAGTTTAAAACAAGTTATTTGGAATTGCCAGGGAATATGTCCCATAAAGAGAAATAGAAAAACATCTCAGATAACTCTGGCAGACTACATATGGTTTTAAAGAGGAAAATATAAATGACTTTTCCTTTAAAAAGAATTAACTCAGCTGGGCGTGGCAGCTCACACCTGTAATCCCACACTTTGGGAGGCCAAGGCGGGTGGATCATCTCAGGTCAGGGGTTTGAGAGCAGCCTGACTAACATGGTGAAACCCTGTTTCTGCTGAAAATACAAAAATTTGCTGAGCATGGTGGCATGCACCTGTAATCTCAGCTACTCCGGAGGCTAAGGCAGGAGAATGGCTTGAACCCAGGAAGCGGAGGTTGCAGTGAGCTGAGATCACGCCATTGCACTCTACACTGGGAAACAAGAGCAAAACTCCACCTCAAAAAAAAAAAAAAAAAAAAAAAAGAACTAACTCGCTCTGTTGTATAATATAATTTCTTGCCTTCTAAGCTACCATACATGATGCATGTGTACTTTCGAGACAAGCCATGAGTCTTCCTTTGAACACCCGACTATACTTCAGATGAGTAGAAACAAGTCTGTGTAGTTCCCTACAAGTTCAACTTAGATTTTTATTTTTCACTTATTATAATTAAAAAATTATGGGCAATACTTGAGACTTATTTGGTAATCTGAAGACTAACCTCCAAGAACCTGCCAATTTTTTATTAACATATATAAAAACTAAAACAAGGCTGGGCATGGTGTCTCACACCTGTAATCTCAGCACTTTGGGAGGCCGAGGCAGGTGAAACACGAGTTCAGGAGTTCAAGATCAGCCTGCAAGATGGTAAAACCCTGTCTCTACTAAAAATACAAAAAAATTAGCTGGGCGTGATAGCGGGCACCTGTAATCCCAGCTACTCAGGAGGCTGAGGCAGAGAACTCCTTGAACCCAGGAGGCAGAGGTTGCAGTGAGCTGAGATCATACCACTGCACTCCAGCCTGGGCAACTGAGCATGACTCCATCTCAAAAGAAAAAAAGAAAACTAAAACAAAGGCAAATCTGGGAGTATACAGGCCCATGAACCTACTAGAATGAAACTAGTTTTGACTGTAAAAATTACAATTGTTCAGTGGATTTAACCTGAAGGGTGTTTCTGAGTTTGCAATCCAAATTGTGTAGTCATCATGTTAACACTGCTCTGAGATATGTCTGGGCGCCTTTCAACTATTCTGTGTCTAAACTCCCCCATTTGCTTTTCCTGACTATGTCATAGGTGAGGACACACCCAAGTTTGCCTAAGACTGGGAGTTGTCCTAAAGATTACTCAAAATGACATTTATTTTAACCAAATTATTTCCTGTAATAGGAACTATGTGCCAATAAGGTAACTATTTTTACCCTTTGATGGCCTTCATAAATTAAGCCACTCTTAGGACAAAAATACAAACAGGTTATAATAAAAAGCCAGAGATACTCTATAAGTCAAAATGATAGATCAAATAAAAAATAGAAAAAACTATATACCTATTAACAATAGGTAGATGAATCAGAAAAATAAATGGAAAATATTTCCTCGTAACAGCAATGATATGGTAGTTTTACAAATAGGCACTTGCTCAATATATTTAACTTATCTCGGGTAAACAGTGAAGAATGAAGATTTTATTTTCCTGACATGCACCTGGGAGAATGGAGACAAACTGAAATGATTGTGGGTAGTGATCATTTGCAAAACTTCCTCCGTAAAATTTTTCTGAAGATCTTTATTATTTTCCTTAGTTTGCCAACAGCAATAGTCTTTGAGACTATT